CTTCCAGGAAATCTGCAGCAAGCATTTTATGTCGGGTTAAAAGCTCCTAAAATTATATAATTAATAAAACCCTTCACAATCGAAGCATGCAACCAGTTGTGCCTATCTAAAAATTTTATCAAATTTCAATCAATATATTTATCACAATTCACAATAATTACACACATTAAATTAAATTTACCTTAAATGTTGCAAAGGCATCTGATGCAATGTCAAATGTTGAAACTTCGACATATTTAAAGAAATCGTAGAAGTGAGGGGAATGTAGAACTATTAGATCCAGGTCATTTCTAAAAGATTTACTGAATCTTTTTAACAAAAAATAATTTTCTTTTTTGTTTTATTTTTTTCGCTTATTTTTATCCTTGATATTTACCCCTTGGATCCGGATCCGTGGATCTGCATATTTTTGCGGATTCGGATCCGGATCCAAGAAGCCAAAATCTTGCGGATCCAACGGATCCAAATCCTAAGCACTGCCTTATAGGTGGGATGGGGGGGGGGCGTACATTCTTGTTGAAAATGAGTGAGCATTAAGTTAAGTTTTGTATCACATTTCTCCAAATATCCATCATTTACCCTCTTAACTGCGAGGTACATATTTTTTAAGACTTAAGCTCTCCCCCTCTCCCTAACCTAATATATAAGGATCAATGAGGAGGGAGAGGGGGGGGGATATACACCCTAGAAAGTTCTCGAAATTTATCTTCTGCATAAAATATTCACCTTTACACAATGTGAAGAGTATCTCAGGTGTTGTACAAATATACTCTACAGTAGGTGTCCTGGTACCAATCTGCCGCCTTAGGATATTATTAAATATCTGTGCAGCATCTTTCTTTCCTTCAAAATCTACTTTGTGGAGATTTCTCAGAAGTATTAGGAGCAGACCAGAATTATACATCTCCTGAGAGTAAAGAGGTGGGAAACGTTGGATTTTTTTTTCGTTTTCCTCTTTCCGTTTTGATTTAGATATAATTATATAGATAATGGCAAGGTTATAATGCAAGGAAAGTTAATTGCAGTTGCGTATTCTCTGCGTATATATTAAAACCAGTTTTCTCTGGGCGGAATTTGTTAACAATAATTGATGCATCAGTGTTCGTTTAATATCCGAGAAGGTTAAAAGCATTAAATTTTGATAATTTTGATAATTCACATAATAGTTTTCTATGAACAGAATATTTCATTGATTTTTTTTGTGAAAGATGCATCCCATTTCATGCTTCGACATCCGTCTTGTGTTTACATTACCGCCCAGAGACAGTACATTGCAGTACAAAAGATGCGCAAACCTCTGAAATAACTTTCCTTGCATTATAACCACAGCATTGCGTAAAGATTTCTTTTTTACAATTATTAACTATATTTTGATAATACACAGCTAAAATTGGATAATTAAATTAAAAAAATAAAGTCTGGATATTATTTCCAATTTGTTACATAGAAAAGGAACCAGATCATTAAATCCAAGTTAAAACAATGCCCACCCCTACCTGTGAAAGCTGAGCTACAAGAATATCAGACTGCTGTTCACTCTCGGTTCCGAACAGCATAGCTGTCATGCTAACCAGCTGTTTACTAGCTTCTTCTTGGGCCTTCTCCTGTTTCTTCCCGTCCCCTCCTTTCTCCAACACAGTCAAGGACTCCTTCAGAAGTTTCACAACTTCTGTGGGACTTTTTACGGATTTTCCAAACAACGGCATTTTTATCATTTTTATTCAACTTAGCTCATATCTGAAATTATTGTGTGTAGCAAGGTAAAAAAGTATAAATATATAGAAAATACTGATAAACAAATACAATTAAAGCATAATTTTATCCTACAAAAGCAATTCAGATCTTTCAAGAACAGAACTGGTTTAAACAGCCTCAACTGGAAGTGCTGCAATACTTTTTTCAGTGAAACATTTCTGTATTAATTTGCTTCCCGGTAGTTTGATAGCATGATTAAATTTATCCATCTGCTCGAGGACTACTGCCATATCTACTCCTTTAGCAGGAATCTCCTTATGAGTCTTTTCTACTAATTTGATAAGATTCTTAATTTCAGGCTCTAAATATTTAGGGATTACGGGTTTATTTTCAGCTTTAATGTTCTTAAGCTCCTTAGGAGTAAACTTCGATGCTACACCATAAAATAGAGCAGTTATGTCAACGTCTTTTTTTACACCTAATCCCTGTCCAAAGCATTTAAACAACCAAAAAGGAGCTTCTTTACCACCTAAAACTAAAGCTTCCCAAAAATCTTTAGCAGCAAGATTCCAACAAGCATCTATTTTCCCCTGTGGTCCATCTCTATCTTCCATGTCGATAGCTAATTTGTAGTGTTCTTCTCCCCAACGCTGACAATATTCAGCCGTGACTTTATGCATCTAAAATTACCGTTAGTTTAGAACATTTTAAAGGGAATGATCACGAAAGGAAATGTTAGAGATAGGACAACAGCTGCAAAATTTTATGAAAAAAAAAATTTTCGAAAATTAATTGTCAAGTATTTTTCTCTATTAATACTTTCCACCCAAAAACGAGTTAATTAAAAACAAAAAACAAAATTCTCGCCCTAGAATATATATCAGCCTAGAAAATAATAAAAATTACGAATATGTAAAACATTATAAATGTCTACCTGTACTGGAACATCAACAGCACCCTTCTTAGGAGTAGAAGATATCTCAACAGATCGCTTACTTTGCTTGATACCCATTTTGAAATTTGTTACGAATTTAATCTGAAAATATATTGTTAATTACAATCATGTTAATAGTAATCAAATGTTTCGTTATCACAATAAATTACGTATCAGTTACTTGAATGTAAGGATAACAATATGTTAGCATGTTAATGTTCAATTGTTTACTAACAAAGGAGCAGGTTATGATGTGTACTGTAAGTATAGTGGAATGTGTCTGAGATGGTCTAACCCTTGAACAAAATGCACACACCCTAACATAGAAACGTAGTGAACTCTAAACTAATCCAGAAATTCTTAAACCGGTTTTGGATGAAAACGGAAAATATAAATGTCGTCTTTTAAAAATTTGTTCTAAGGAAAAGGTGGTGGATCCGCATTTTAACTATTACATGTTGTTTAAGATGGTGTATTTTTGGACCTACGCCCATCCCCTCTACCATGCCCATCCGACCTACAAGCACGTGGTTTTAACAGCTGTGGTAGGTCCGATGCACTGTAGGTCGGATGGGCACGTTAAAAACAGCATATTGGTGC